ACTATAAGCTCGCAATAAACTGAGCTTCATATTACAGTTAATACACAGTTGAGCTAATAATCCGAAGGACATTGGTTTGGATTCTGGTGCACTCTAGGTTTTCACTTCACCTTTAATCATCACTCTACATCATTATTAGCAGTCTATTAGTCTCTGATAGTCCCATCAAGAATTGTTTTAAGTGCATTCAAGGATATTAGCAAGTTGGCAAGTGTGCTGACTTCATCGACAAAACCACTCCCATTTCTTATGAAACCATTTAAAAGTGAAACATTGGAAATGCTAAAAACCAGGACTGCATTCCTTTTGAGTGCACCACAGTTACTGATTATCTACAGCTTGTTGAAGCTTGGAGGTAGTGTGAAATAATTCATAGGCCATCCTATTCTTAACAGTATACAATCTTAGATAAGAAGTAACAGACACATTGATATACATGAAGTGGATACTAAATGGAAATGTAAGGCAAAAGTGTAGTTTGTTGTGGTTAAGTGTGTACATTATGTCTGAATTCGTCACCTCATCTTGAAAACCTCCTCATTCAAAGTCATTTACAAAGGGCGAAGAAGCTTTCCGAAGGCTAGATGTCTTCGTATTCTCTGCAACGCCGAAGATCTTGACAACGGTATGAAGAAAACTCATCTTTGTATCCGAAAGAAAATTGTTCACCCACTTCTGCCTTCACTGTCTTTGTTATAGAACGTGATGAGATTGCTATGATCCGCACAAAAACGCTGAATTTCCGAAGCCCCCTACAACCAATCGTCTTGTACAAAAGTTTCGGGAACAAGCACGCGAACTAACATGTGAATATCAGATCGATTGAATCTGTGGTTTGTAGGGATTTTCTGCCATCGAGTTGGTATTCATCATGAATTGACATCAGTTGGAGAAACATAGGAAACCTAAGAGCACTGAACAGCTAGCTGTTTTGTTTTAGTATGTGACTTCTCAGTAGTGTGCACCCACGACATCGCCAAGGATTGAACCCAGGACCTTCAAGTTACATCAATGAACCACTGGGTCGGAATCCAGTGATCAATATTTCCAACTTCTGTCATATCACGAAATAAATACCAAGTCGAAAAGTTAATAATTCCCCACGAACCCCAAATTCAGCTGATCTAGTGTTCATGGGTGAGTAACTTCGAGAGATGATTCTCGAAGTTCGAATAAGAAGTTGTCACCGGTGGGACAAACTTGGTGACCATCAGAATAAATACTAAACGATGACAGTGGGTCGTGGTCGTGCTGTATCGTGAACTGACAGGAGTCTGAAAGATGGACCACTGGATTCCGACCCAGTGGCTCATTGATGACATGCTGGTCATGGAATATTATGGCCCTGGGTTCGGTCTCTGGGGAGGTGGGGATATAGTTGTGCACTTCTGAGGAGTCCCATACTAGGACGAAACGGCTAGTTGCTCAGTGCTCTCTGGTTTCCAATGTTCCTCTTACTGATGTCAGTCCATTATGAATATCAACTTGAAAAATATTGGATTGGTTGAAGAGACAAAAAATCATTAGGACATTGAAATCTAAAAAGGCCTGAAAATAGCCAAGGCCAGCGTGAATACATTTCAGCCATTGTATTTCTTATACATTTCTGACGTTGCAATACACCGTTACCTTACCACCTTTTCCATTTATGGAGAAACTGAGCGGCCAGAAAGGGGTAGAAATTTGAAGGTTGTTGTTCAACCGTCTGGACATATATATATATATATATATATATATATATATATATATATGACTTGTGTTATATCAAGTAGTCACTACATGAATATAATAAGTGGAGACTGGGTTATAAAAGTTTTAATTCTCAATCTTTTAAACCACTCCTTTCTTTCTTCACTGCTCACTTCGTACTACTGAGTTTTGCTTCTATACTCCGTCTGATTACACATGAGTTTCCAAACAATTTGTCTTTTACGAAACTTCTGATCCAAACTTAGTAATCTTTATCCCACTCTAGTCATATTTTAATGAGTCCTCACCATTCATCAGAATTTTTGATTTTAACGACAACTCCTGTATTCATACTATTCTTGTTTACATGGTGTAATTAGAAATTGAAGTTTATCTGAATAACATGTGATATAGTTGGGCAATATATTTTAAACAATCTAATCACATATTTACTTGTCAAGTTATAAAAAGGCGAAGGGTGGGAGGATAAAGAGAACGATTAGGACAATAGGGGATTAACATCAGGAAAAATGAGAAAAAAGAGGAACAGTCACATAGTTGATCATAATCTTGGTAAGGAAACAAAGTTTAAGAAGGCTCTTGAGTGTAAGAACAAATTGTTATTCTACATATCATAAACGTGGTCTCAATTTATGACTAACTATCGCTTCTACAAACCTCATTATGCATCCGACTGTTTCTACTGTAAAACTTTGAAAGCTGGTTGAATATTAATTTTGTGTCCTGTTTCTGTAATATATTCAGCTACAGATGAAAAAAAGGGGTCGTCTCCCACCCGTGCTTATCAGGGTTTCACACTCCAACTGCTTCTGAAGACATTTAAGTACATGTTCTCTTATCTTCAATTACATGGCTCGACTACTCCTTATTTAGTGTGACCATGCAAAGGAAGATTGTTCAACCCGTTCTCCTTTCATGGTCTTAGTTTTAGGTCTATGAAGTCTCATCTACCCCTCCCCTCCATCTTTTCTTATCATTTTTCTGTTTTGACACTATTCACTCCTCAAGTAATTTGCTATTCATTTTTCTTGATATGCTCTGCGTGATCACAGTTCAGTTTTCAATTATGTCGTCACACCACGAAACATCTTGTCCAGGCTTATTCTGGTCAATATTCACTACTCATCAGCTTGTGGTTTTTCGATTTTAATAACAGCTCATTTATTGACATTATTTGTGTTTCCATGCTTGACGAACCGATTTTTTAACTATCAAATCCTTACTCTGTTATTATTATTTGTCCGTTGGGTTCCTGGTGGAACAAAAGGCTTCACTAGTATGTCTATATCTCACTCTCTTCTCTGCAATTATTTCAACATGGATCAAAAACTGTCCACAAGCTTTCATTTCTTCTTCACACTATCTACTCAATGTCACCATCGGACACCCAACTCGTCGTTTCCTACCTGAGTTCCAATCGACGGCCTGGCTTGTTGCGTGATGTTCCGCAACCATCTTCTCAGTGTATGTCCAATCCATCTCCCCTTTCGTCTGCGATGGGTTCTTGGTTGATTTGTCCAGCCAGCCAGAGTTCCTTCTTGCTCATTCTGGTCATCTGATCTTCAGCAAAGAGCGTATGCAGTTGCTGACGAATGTCGGTAGTTTGTTGGAAGCGCTTTTCGTGACCCGTCAAGTTCCTGAACCATATCGCAGAAGTGACCTGACGTTGGTGCTAAAATCCCGGATCTTGTTCTTTATGCTGCGTGCATTAGAAGTGTTTAAACTTGTGATTGTACAGCTTTGAAAATGAAATCACTAAAAAGAGACTCTTCGCTGAGATGCTTGTTTTTCTTTTATCTCCTGATGGGTTATATTTCACACATTATTCAATTCAAATAATAATAAACTTACGTAAGAAAATGTCAGAGCATTTAAATTTGTCGAAAGTAGGAAGTATGATTCCGTTTTCGAAGAAGGAAGGGATGAGTTGTATTGAGGCGTATTCCTTTTGATTGCAGAGTCCAGGTTTCAGCTGATCTTGTTTTCATAGTATTACATATATAGAGAAGATATAAATGAAAATCCTAAAACCAATCAACGCATTCACATCATCTCTCTCACAAAGACTGCCTGTCAAACATATTCTACTATATGGATCTATAAATTCGATTTGTTTTCTCATATTGTGTATACTTACTGTGTGCTAATTACAGAAATAAGTTTAAGACAAATCCGCTTAAAATTTTGAGCTCATATTCAACCCCAGAGAATGCATTTACTGCAAACTTGGCTTCTATTACCATGAACAGTTCTTTTTGGAATTATTAACAGACAGGCAAAATACACACAATCCATCGGTTCAGGTTGATACATTTCACGATAGTATTCAAAGAACGAGTGGATTAGAAAGACTGATATCAAAGTAGACAAGTGGTGTATGAAAAGAGAGAGAATTTAAAGATAACTGTTAGCTAAAGCATCCAAGCTTCGGAAGACGTCAGAGAGTAAATACATTTCATCTAGGGTCCTTAAGTTCTCGAGGATCCCAGACAACCTGTCTATATCTCCACACCAGCAGTCAGTGTCTTCATAGTCTGGCCATCTTGAATCCTCTTCCAAGCCAATACAAATTCCCTTTTATTGCACCTTGAAGTAGGCGACGGCTCTGCAAACGAGGAACACATCAAAGCCATCTCAGTCTATGAAGGTTTACAATCTAGTACCTTTTATCTGGATTCTATATTGCTTAAATGGCGACCCCATCATACATGAGAAATGATACGAAGACGCCTGTGATCGAAACACTGTTACCACTTGATATCTTCTATTGTTGATGGTCATGTCTCCTAGTCGTATAACAGGACAGAACGTGATCATACTCGTCCTTTGAAGGTTAGTCGGATATCTCACCAGTTGGCACCACATATGACGCAAACCAGCCTTCCCCATCCCAGTTATTACTGTAGAACCTAGTTAGAGTATTCTTCTTTCATGGTATGAAAGATTCGACATTACGTTAGATGTAATTTGAAGACATTCACTTGGGCAGTGTGTTGTTTTTATTTCAGAACACACTTTAACTGTCTACCACTAGTTTTTACATAGATAGGAGATCGAAGAATACGGGTGGAATAACACAGTTTGATATCACACTTCATGAAAGTATAGCATTCATATATTTTCATAGTGATCACCTTAACAAGTGAATGTGGGGTTAGTTTACTCCAGTATTTTGTTTTAATACACGCCATATTCCAATAAATAAACTTTATGTCCTAAATAAAGTTGTTTGTTTTTCTAGTATCTGAATAAATGCACATTTTGTTTTCACGGTGTTTTTTCTGTTCCAGAACATTCCACAAGCAAAATTTATCTGATACTAATTACAGTTGGCTACATAATCTGATGAAAATAAACGAAATGCCGATAACTGTGATAAATTTCAGTTATTCACGGATTTATTTTACTCTGGTCATCTATATTTCTCAACTTTTAAATATTTATTCGATACAATCTATTCATGTTAATGAACCGAATGTATTCTATGTGAATGATGATACAATTGAAGGTCAAAGAATAGGTCGTATTACATACTTCAATGGTAATCAACATGTTACTTTGAAATCAAGTCAAATGAAAGCTGTTATCGTTCGATCAAATCGTCCACCAGCTGTTTACTTTAAATTGAATGAGAACACTGGAGACTTGTATACACGAACTATGATAGATCGAGAGTCATTATGCTTAAAATCTTTTCATACTAATGAAAGAGTAAACTCTATACCAAGAGATGCAAATTCTGACTTTTCTCAGTCAAATTATCAACATATTTCATTATCAACAAATTCAAAAGTTATAAATCAGTGTAAATTCACTTTTCAAGTAGCTCTTCATCGTCTACAATCTCATCAACAACATCAATCTACTGAACCTGGATTTCATTATTTACCAGAATTTTTAGATATTCATATATTTATCATTGATCGTAATGATCACATTCCAACATTTCAACCACATTCCGTAATCAATTTATCAATTCCAGAATCTGTACCAATTGGTACACGTATTCAACTTCCATTAGCATTTGATCCAGATTCACCAGAATTTAGTATAAAACGATATGAATTATATCCATTGGATACATCTGATTTCACTTTATTCATACAAACAACAGATATAATAAATAATGCAAATCTTATACAAGAGATAACTGGATTATATTTAGAATTGAAGACAATACTTGATCGTGAAGTAAAAGAGAGTTATACACTTGAAGTGAAAGCATTCGATTCATCATCTTCATCTACATCATTGAATACATTTCTACCTTCTATAATCGATAATCGTAATATATTAAAAATATTTCTAACAGTTGAAGATATCAATGATAATGGACCAATTTTTCAACCACAAAATACTTCAACTCATAGTGAATCATCTACAAATATGATAAGCTCAAGTATATCATCATCATCATCATCCCAATCAATTCATTCAGTGAATATTTTTTCTTATAAGGTTGAAATTATAGAGTCGAATTGGCCAAAATCACCTATATTACAATTAATTACAAAGATTTAGATAGTTCAAAATATTCTCTTACTAGATATGAATTTGCATCAAATATTAACAGTATTATTAAACAATTATTTAAATTGAATGAACATACTGGAGAATTATTTTTAAAACAACCATTAGACTATGAAAAATGTACTAGTTATTCATTTGATGTGTTAGCTATAGATAATGAATATGATCGTCGTAGTAAGATAGAAGGTGGTAGTTCACATTTAATCAATTCACAATTATATAACAATATTTTCACATCTACAGCTAATGTTATTGTAAATGTCTTAGATATTAATGATGAAATACCAATGATTGAAGTAGATTATTTACGAATAGATGAAACAACTGGAAGATCAGCTACATTTGCAAGTATTGAAGAAAATAGTGATCCACCACAGTTTATAGCTGATATTTTAGTCACAGATAGGGATGCCAATGCAGCTAACAGTCATGTCATATGCACACTAAACAGTAAATCAAACAGATACCAGAGTAATGATAATAATAATAATAATAATGATAAAAACTCTTCAATTACAAGTTTATTTCAACTATCTGAAGTTAGACGTCAACCTGGTCTGGTTCAGTATAATATGCTCACTGTAAATAGTCTAGACAGAGAGATCAATGGAGCAGTAACACGTATAAGAATTCAGTGTTCAGATTCTGGTGAAATTAAAAAGATTTCTGAAGCTGATCTAGTTGTCCATACTATAGACTTGAATGATAATAATCCACAAATCCAATTGATATCATCACAACAACTCGATAATTCAAATACTGAGCAAAATATTGTACATCTAAAAGAGAATGCTCAAACTGGTACAATTGTTGCACATTTCAATGTAAGTGATCAAGACTCTGGTGATAATAGTAGAACAAGTTGTTCACTTTTATCTGCAAATGATCCTCTATTACTTAACCTTAAAGATTATTTCCATGTTGATCCAGTATTGTGTAGCTTGATAACACGTAAACCAATTGATCGTGAATCAACCAATCCACCAATCAGTGAAATTGATCTAAGCATTCAGGTTAAAGATCATGGACAACCAGTGCGTAAATCATCTATCAATATAAAAGTAAAAATTCTCAATGAAAATGACAATATTCCAATGTTTCAGCATACATTTTATCGTTTCTCTATTAAGGAGAATTTACCAGTCGGTGTAAGTGTTGGTCAGATAATTATAACTGATTTGGATGGAGATTATGATAGGTTAGAGGTACGATTACAGAAACAAGATCAGTTACCATTTACACTGTGGAAATCAGACATATCCTATGGATATATTTCAATCGATCATTCTGAAGCACAGGTGGTTATCTATCATCTGAATACAACAAGAATACTGGATAGAGAAGACAATTCTAATTATGAATTTGAAGTCTATGCAAATGATATGAGTGAAGATAGATTGCTGAGTCAGCACAAAATATCATCGAAAAGCTTAAGTCATACAACAAGTGCAACTGTTTTGGTTACAATTGAAGATGAAAATGATAATGATCCTGTGATCATATTTCCACAACAAGCCAATAAAACATTTATTCTTTCAAATTCTGAGAAAAAGTATTATCAACTAATGACTGTGAATGCCAATGACAAGGATCCTTCATCTAACTCATTTATGTTTATGCTAGAAAAAGAAGATACTTTCAAATCAAATGACAATTCAGAAGATGTTGAAGATGATCAAATTGACTCGAAAGTCTTTACATCATCAGAATCAAGGTTAAAACTAAAAAATATAACGCCTAATTCATTTCTAGAAATCGATCGTAGTGTAGGAACAGTATATCTGAGTAGAGATATTCATCAAAATGATACTGGTATTCATGCATTTCGTGTAATTGTACACGACAGTATAATCAGTCCACGAACAGCATCTCTCAGGTTTATTGTTAGAGTGGAATCAATTCCACCTCGTTTACATCAAACTAACACAAACAGTTTTATCGGTAATGAACGCGTTGAACGTCGAGTATTGTCATCGGGAGAGAACCCTCTAAGTCCTGAATTCATGGAATCTAATTTTGGCTACAACAATCATTATGTAAAGTCCTCCAATGAATATGGCATCCTGACAAATAGAAAACTTGATAATATAAAAATGATTTTTGATAATCATTCCAATACAATTTCATCCTCTTCAGCATTTTCTTCATCATCGAAACAGTTAACACGTCGTTTAACAGGAGATACAGTCCTTATATTATCATTAGGCTTGATTTTGTTAATACTTTTAGCAACACTATGCTTAGTGATATTTGCACGTCATTGGTCAACAAATTCAGGTGGTGTACAAAATTCGAATTCATCAGACAAGATTCAATGTTCCAATATATTTTGTTGTGACTCACCAGGTTGTAAACAAGTGACAAATAATGATGATTTAAAGAAGGAAGTAGTGAATATTTTTCATTCAACACCTTTATCAAATTCTCAAGATCATCCACAAATGAATATAAACTGTGATACTATCAGGTCACTGGACACGTATAACGCAAGCATTAGCGATTCTTGCAGTCGAAAAATGCTGGATAGTGATCATATTTACTATCGTGATTGTAGACAATTTTCAATATTACCTGTTGTAGCCACTCCTGTAGGCAGTGATAATGGAACATTCCCTACAGATTATACAGCACTAAGAGCTATGACATCGTGTAAGTGCTGTACCCCACCTCCACCTGGATATACTTATAGTACTGAAAGTGCTAATCAACACTCGCTAAAATCATTTACAAGCGAATCCTTAAAGAACAATACACTCCAACCAAGTCAACTATCCAATGGTTCAGTCACTTACTACACCACCTTATCACCTAGGCTGAGATCTGATAATGCAACAGATAAACGTAAAGTTCGAATCATAACGGTGAAGGAGAATATGGAAATGGAAGCTGAAAAAAACTGTGCTTCTGACTACTCGGTTACGTAATACTAGAAATTACTGCCAGATATCAACAGTTTTTAAATCGATGATGATAATAATGTAAGTACAGACTGCCTTTCTTAAACTTGTGGTTTATATTGGGTTCTCTTTTTTTCAACAGCATGGAACTATTTTATTTCATCTGTAAACAAAAGACAACACACCACCAGTCAATAAAAACGCTTAACTTCCATGTGTGTTCCGCTAAACATTTTGATTCCCCTATACAGTAAGCATAAATTAACAATTATCTAGACAAGTGTATGTTATTCTCCCTGGTGTACTATTCAGATAATTAGAATAATTAGACTTTCCAAACTCATACTTAATGGTTAGTAGCAAATTTTAACCGACATCGAAAGGATCTGATAGCTGGTTGCCTGTTTCATACTTTTAGAACTGAAGAAATTAACGCTATATGTCCAATATATTCAGTTACAAAAACCCAATCATTTTGAACACGAAAAGCAAAGTAAGCTTACTTGAAGACATTGGTAATGTCGTGAATGCTTTAAGCAAGGTATAGAATATACTGACCCCAAACATAATTCCTATCTATGAGTTATTTACCACTCGCCGAAATATATAAAAAGCTGATTTTTGATAGCAAATACTAAGCAAAAGTCGTTGACAAAAATATCAGACTAAGAATAGTTCCAATTTTAAGGTTTCACAGCTTAAAATACGCAACCAAAGTGTGCAATTTCCAGAACACAGCGATCTGATGCAATATGAATCTATGTTGGCGACTACCAACAGCCCATGGTCTGCCATTTTTATAACAGCGAATAAAATGATGTACCTTGATATCAAATATATCGTAACTAAACACTGCTCTGACACCTGTATGACTCTGACTACTTCCGAACCTCAATATCAAAATATTGAAACCGTTTCTACCCTTTACCACCCCAGTCTATATGACGTCAATACGAGAGATTTGCACAGACTTAGCCACTAGTCCCACTTGGTCTTTCTTCATAAAAAAGACACAACGTTATTGCCTTTATCTCTGTTCATTTGTGAACTGTGTCATGCATACATACAACTGAACCACAGAGGTAAAACTAACTATAATGCCTAAAAGTAAAATTGACTCACTTCATGCACAGAAAGTGGGATAATGCTGACTTGTTGACTTCACGCATTAGGCAGTTATTTCAGTACTACTGGTCCTAGAAAAGGAAGAAGAATCGATTAAAAGCCCCTTAGCCAAAGTAGGCAATAGTACGAAAAAAGGATCCTAAGAGAAAATGTATTTTCAAGCAAATAAACTAATATGACCAAAACTACTTACCTGAGATTCCTATTTTCATTTCCTCTATCCGCTGTTACAGCCATTTCAATATCTAGCTGTTAGCAATCTAGTTAATCGTAAAGATAGATGTTAAATACTTGGTGATGACACTGAAGGTGAAATGAAAATTTGGACGGCTGCCGGATTCGAGCCAGCGAACATCGGGTTTCCTGCTTCATGTTTGACCAACTGAACTACGAGGTCCGACTACTGACTAGCTTTTTATTTCACTTCAATCACCATGGGTTTTGCCTGATCACCATATGAATTCGCGACGTGTCACTATCACTTGTTCGTACTCACATTGGTTACCTAGTCAGGATTTCTTATCCAAATCCAAATCTGAATTAGATAGCGGAAAGTTATATTGATCGTCATTTTGACTATCTGCCATAGTTTGGAAGATTAGTATTGATACTGAGTAGTGATTGAAGATGAAATGAAAATTTGGATCGTGGCTAGATTCAAACCAGCGAACACTGGGTTTCCGGCACGATTCTCTACCAACTGAAGTACGAGTGAAGTGAAATTAGAATCTGGAGAGCAGTTGGACTTAGTAGCTTAGTTGGTAAAGCATCGTACCGCAAACCCTCTGGTCGCTGGTTAGAATCCAAAGACGGTCAAAATTTTCATTTTCCCCTTCAATCACCACCCAGTATGAATACTAGTCTGGCAAACAACGGCTATCTAAGATAGTCAAAATGATAAAGATGCTTATCTTTAAAGCATTAAAGAAATAAATATGCTATTATTATTATTAATTTTTGTCCCTTGGGTTCCTGGTGTAACATACAGATTCAGTAGCACGTCTCCAGTGCACTCTGTTCTCTGCAAACCTTTAAACCTGGCTGCACGACAGCCCAGAAGCTGCCATTTTTTCCTCGCACGATCTTCTCTATGTCACCCTCGGACGCCCAACTCATCGTTTCCTATTTGGGTTCCACTCGAGGACCTGGTGCGTCCCAGTCGGGTTAGAAGTTAACAGCAAGCAGAACCAAGGTTGTTACGGTTGCATACCTGACTCCAGGTGTGTATACACGACCCCAAACACCTTCATATTCTCTTAACATCATAAACGCTTCCGATCCGCCGGTATCAGACGACGTAGAACATAAAATACTTAGGTAAAGGTAGTAGAGAATGTTTACACGATACAATCCAATTCAAAAGTTGTAACTAGACAAGTACCAGTCAGACACGGTAAGAATAAAAGAAGATGCATATACAATGCAAACGCGAAACAAAGAAATGCTAATAGCATGCAATACCATACAAGGTTAGTTCAGAAGTGCATCAGGCGATTAAAATGATAGCAAATCAATCTGGTAAAACCAAACACGCTGAAAAAGCAGATAATGGTTTCAATTTTTCTGAACTTCTTAAAATCTAAAAGTCTGATATAGTAATGTTGTACTTTGTCTTAGGATACATCGGAAGTTAATTTCACCATAATAAGCTTGTAACTGAGCGTGAAAAATCCTTGAACACCATATCTTTTTATGAGCTGAATTCTAAGCATCATTCGTAAACCTACTGAATTATGACGATGTTAGTTCTTAGAGGGTATTTTTCACAATACAGCCGACGAAATCGATAAATTTCACTGAATGACAATACAGTTTGTATGCTAAGTTTATCGTCATCCCAAAAAACTGAAACTATCGTAACCATAGTTAGAAGATTATTGGGAGATGGGAGGAAGCTAAGCTTGCATTGACTTATGCACATCGGAAACTTGGCAATATAAACCTACTTGCCTGTAAATACGATTATCTTAAAGTAGCCAAACGCTTTATCATTTAATTATTGATGCAGGTGTTTTCAGCTTCTAGCCAAATTCCTAATCGACGACGCACATTTAGTAAGCTTTCGTTGGATAACTGACTTGTCCCATGACTTTGATGGATGTGATGTTTTGACTCGCTGTCCAAACGCTTTATCAAGAGACGACGTTTAAACTGTATTCCACCATTCAGGTTTTTAGGAAACAGGCTGATCCAGCTGCACAAGCTTTTTCCTCTTTCTTAGTAGCCGCTGTTAAGCGGATATCAACCTGGAACCCAACTCACGGTCAGATCTTTTAATCTGGTCCTAGGCTTTCGAAGTGAAGAAACTCAATGAAAAATATGCAAACTTTTTTGTGTACCTAATCTGTGCTCTCAGAAAGTTTCTCATGGAAATATTCTGTTTAATGCATCATTGGTGATGGGATAGTATGCATTTCATGATGAATGTGGTTTATTATGGAGGCTATAGGCTACGTGCATGCTGTCTCCCCTTACTGACATGCCATTTGAACTGAGTTAGTCTACCACCTTGAACTTATCTCTGGCATGGGTTATAGGTCAGTGACGAAGTCCACTATGGAGACTGTAGAAGTGGTCGCTGCGGAAAGATCAGACCAATGAAGCTTGTATCATGTTTTTTGGATGGGAAATTAACCATTGTAAACAATCACTGATTGACTCTTGAACCTTGTCATTTGTCTGCTAACCGAATGGCCAGTAAGGGTTGATATATCTAAGTAACAGCACTTAACCATGGTGGGAGAGGGTGTTGGTATGAGTTGAGTGGTGAATATAAGCTTTGGCTTAACGGGATCACACAGCCAAGGGATTCACTGCCGTCCCGGATAATGAGGTATGGAGACACCTGAGACTTTTAGGCCTTCTCCGTCAGCAAGAGTGCATGGCCTATTATGCACACCATTTTCATATGTAATCACCCAATTATAATTCGACCCATAAGTCAGTGACGCATTGTTGATATGGAAACACACATACCTTTTAAAGCCATAATGTCTATTCCATTAAATATTCGCCTGAAGGATACTGGTTTATAATTAAAACCTACCTAAGTTACAGAACGTCTTTTAATTTCATCCATTTTATTCAACTTTAATATTAGCGATGTATACAACTTCTGAGCTATTTGCTTCAAAAATATCGACGGAAGAGGTATCCATATAGTTTTGTCCATTAGAACTAAGATACTTCGCCCATTACGTCATTTAGGTGCTAGTTTTTTCCATTTTCTTATATGTGATTTGTCGTTTCCTGTTTTCTACTTTAATTCACTTTTTAATTGTGAAAAATATGAAAAAAGATAATGCAACCTACTCTTCAGTCATTGACAAAGATCGAGGAGAAACGCGTCACCAGCACATATATTGATTAAACAAGCGAATGAAAAACTTTCATTCAGAAGAGAAGTTCCTTCCTTTCCTTCAGTCGGCATTATGTCAACCTTACGAATGACCCATTCACTTTGAAGGAATTACTTCAGTGAATCTTATCTCTTAAACAGACTAGATTCAGCTGTTATACGTGGTACGTCAACAAGGTTCTGCAATGTGACATAATAAATTTGACACAGTTTTGTTCTAAAGTGAATACAAATCGAGGCTTGAATTTATCCTCCAAGTCACTCGAATTAATGAATTGTGTAACATTATATCCAAGTAAACACTTCACATAATGCAGCAAACAGTGGGGAGCGAGAAGAGGGGGATATGCTGGACTGCGGAAAAGAACCTAGAAGATCTGGATTTCGCCAGTGATGACTTGTGTCTGATGTCACATAAACTTGAAGATCTACAGGCAAAAACTAACAAGTTGATAGAAGAGGCAGCGAAGACGGGACTTCAAATGAATATAGAGAAGACAGAGGTGATGAAGATACCGCACCAACAACAACAACAAACTCCAGTCACCATCAATGGGAGAAACTTAAAGGAAGTAACCTCCTTCACCTATCTAGGAAG